TATATATATATTACGAATAGCCACCGTGTAATATCGATAAAAATATCAATTGAAATCAGACAGAAATTATCTTGTACTTATTCAATATATAGGATATTCTGTAAAGATTGTAGCAGCGTTTAAAAGTAGATTCTTGAGATCAGTTTAAGAAAAAATTATAATACCAAAATGTTGAGTATTTAATAATTTTTGAATTATAAGCACTTAAAGTTATCGAATCATTTCGCCTAAAGTTCGCGCGTTCAAATGTACAAAAATCCAATTGTAATTAAGCGCATGAATTTAGGTATAATTCGCTAATTTTAAGTGATTATATTTCAAAACTATTATACTCTTGATATTTTGGTATTAGAATTTTCGTTTCAAAATGATTTCGTTAATCTACTGTTACGTCCTGTAGATGCCACGAGTCTTTTAAAAGAAAAGACTCCGCTCTAGTCGCATATGGTAGACGTAGATTCTGTAAGACTTAAGTGGAGTCCCCTGATAACGATTTGAAAGAACTAGAAGAACCGGACAACTTCCGCGAAAACTCATAAACGCTAATCAACTTGGAAAGAATAACAACATTAATGCTGAAAAGCGGCAAAATTGTGAATCCTAAATTGTTATCCTAAATGTACTTAAATCGCAATAATAAATATCCAAGTTGATCGCCCGAGGCTGACCATCAATTTCATTTAAAAAAAAAAGGCGCCATGTCACACCAAAAATCATAAAAAGCATAGGACAATTTCCCACGCTAGCGTTATCTAAGATCAGACTTGCAACTGACAATGATTATCTTGTACGCAAAACTAGCTGTACACAATAACCAACTGTTTACCTAACCATTTTCCGCGAGAATAACAGCCTGGAGCCATCTAGCCGTTTTAAAAAGAAACGTAAATCATTCCTTTCCTTCTTGAAATCTCTCTAACGATGTACTTTAAACAACGATAGAATTTTATAAAAATCATAAATCTTGCACGACACTGCAACTAACAACTGCATCCTAGACAAAGAACATTATGCCCTTTTTTTCGAAGTATAAATAGAGATCCCGCGGAAGCGCAGAGTGTCAGTATAAAAGTCGGTTCAAACTAAGCCGGTTCACGTCAGTACAGTTCACGTCAGTGAAAAATACACATAAGTTCGCATCAATCCGTTCACACCAGTTCGCATATACATACTCGAATGCATCGAAACCAATTTGCGTCAGTAACCCAATTCACGCCAATTTTAATCTGTACTCGAGTGCATCAAATCATTATTGGGATCAACCAATCACTGTACACTGAATTATTCTCTTGGTCCGCCTGCGCGGACTGTGGGCCTCCTCTCCATCAATCACCAATAGTTATCAGAAATTTCGTGGTTACTAAGTAATTATGCTCGGCTAATTAATAAGTCGGCTTATTATTCTATATCTATCCATATATGTCCCCGTGTGTGTGTGTGTGTGTGTGTGTGTGTGTGTGTGTGTGTGTGTGTGTGTGTGTGTGTGTGTGTGGTGTAATCCCTCCTATTATAGCGCATGTTCATAGTTCTTCGAAGACACAGGGACGAATCCCGTATGTCAGACGGATTTCGCGGGGCCGTCAGTTAAATCAAACCGCCACCGCCGATCAACATCGAATATTTTGATATTTCTTATTTGCCAGTTTCCATGGATGACACACAATCCTTTGACCTATTCACCCCCTCTTCGTTCTTGACCCTGCAATCTGGAATATTCTAGTCTTCTCCCCCAATTCAAGAACGATTCCCTCCCTCTCCTTCTCTAAATCAGCTCCTCTTCCATTCCAGTCAGGCCCTTTACGAGTTAAGTGAGAAGAGTTATTTCAATTCTATTCTACCGCTTCTAACGAAGCAGATAGAGTAACCATCGTATATACTCCAGGCAATTCAACTCCCTATACGGTTCTGATACCTAATTTCCATGTGTTCCTGCACTACTTTCTTAGCCAGCAGTTCCCAATAGCCTTATCTTCCTCCTCTTCTATTCACCTCCATACGCACACATATAGTCACAATTTTTTCTGTATTTAAATCTAGGTCCATACTTATGTAAATAGCGACACACACACACCGCAACAAATCCGTAAGTTAAAGTTAGTAATATTTTTTTAAGCAACCTTTGACTGCACATAATTTTATATAATTTATGCTCTGCTCTTTCTTGCCGTCTAATGAAGAAATAGTTTTCGATATAGCGTTATAGTCCTTTAGAGACTTATATTCTAGGATCATAAAAAGGTTTTTACGAACATCCTGTATATAATGAAAAGATAGTAATAATATATAAACAATTGAATTATTCTTTTTAAATTGATATATAGGAAAAAATATGTAGATATATATACATATACATATACACATGTATATATATATAAATAAAATCTTGAAAATTTAAACATTTTATTATCAATATCGATAATAAATTCGTACATCACGTATTGTCTACATTCAACTTGCATAATTATTGTCGTATCATCATAGATATCGACAAACAAGAACTGAGAAAAAGTTTCTATTAATATCTTTAGCTACACGTAATGGGCATCTAAACATTGGCCCACAATCTTCGAACTTCAATACATTGCGTGTAATAATGATATATATGAAACAGAAGCCTTTATAATCTAGAAAAATTATATCAAATAACAATATAATGAAAAAATATAAGAAAATAAATTTATAAATAAATAAACTGTGTAAATATAAATCGAATATTTCTATGCAAATGTATCTTATAAAGAAGAGACTCAAGTGTTTCCCTTCGATTTTGATGAGCTTTTAATATGTTATTTTATGAAATGATGAAAATAAGAAACCCATACTTTTTGCTCTATCATGAAGTGCAATATCCTTTAAAAAAAGTCGGTTTTTTATTTTAAAGCAAATATTGTAGGATCTATAAAAAATAGAAAATAAAGTTTAAAAATTGAATGGTTTTAAGAATACTTAACAATCATAATTTAAAACATCTTTTAATTTTTTATTTTTATAAATAAAAAAATTTTTTTGTTTAAACAATATTTTAAAATTATTATTATAATGTCTTCTTGACACTATTCAACTTTTATTTCTAACATTTTCTTTTATCTCTTAAAATTTCGACGATGTTCGCTTCAAAAAAAGAAAATTTATTTTTTTTTTTTAAATGTTTCACCTCTTAAAAATGCGATAGAATTTAAAAAATATATGTTTCTTATTTTTTATTTATAAAATAACATATTAGTTCATTAAAAATCGGAGGAGACTACTTGGATCCCTTTCCTATCAATTAAAAGATTGTCTTATAATTAAAAAGTAGTAATTAAAAAGTAGTAATTAAAAAGTATATCACGATTTTTTTTTTGGAATGATGACAGTGTTGTTCCACATCAAGAATTTTATTAACAGAAAGTTCAGCGTTGGAATCTTACACTCGTGAATCCCTCTAGTGACAAGTCCATGATTTTTCCAGCCGTGATGGTAAGTCTTCTTTGTGATCTCAATATTATAAACAGGATAAACTTGCACTCGTTTGGTTTGAAGTCGTACCAGATTGATTCGTATGCCGCATCGCTAATCATTTTACTCTGAAGAAAAATGTCGCAAAAATGTGTTATCAGTGAGATAAATGACTAAATCAATAGAGCATCTATGCAGTATACAAAGGGAAAGTTTAGACACAATTCGACTATACTATAGAAATTATAAAAAAATTAAATTATTAACAGAATGCGTTCTATTTAAATAATTACGGAAGTATTAAAATTAATTTATGTAATAATCACTTAATAATTATCTCAATAAAATGTAATAAGTAAATGTTGCATAACATAGATGTAAAATGGTGTATATTTAAACGTAACATTTATGTCTGTGTTTGGGATTATTTAACAAGCACTTTTTTAATTTGAATATGACATATATAATTAGTAGGGATGCATTGCAACACATTCATATTGGAGAGGAAAAGAAGATTTTATCTTTTTTTTTGTTTAAAAATGTGTTTTGTTTTAAATTGTTCCACGAAAATGCAGTGTAAAACATTATTGTAACAATATTTAAAATCGCCAGATACGTATAACTAAATTGCGTAAATTAATGTCAATGCAAATCAAATATGAGAATCTTGCTTGTGCATTCCGACCTTGGCACTGAGATACTCTCCACAAAAGCAGAAGATGAACGCCTCTACCGTAGCAGCCATGTAAAACACAATAGCTTTCATTAATGACGAGCTATCAATCGTATCCGAGTCTTGCGTACTTATCGACTGCAACATAAATCGAACTACAATATAAATCGTTATCACTCTAAGAGTTGATTCTCTCCAGTTTTGGAGAACAATTGTATGCTTACTGTTACAATCATAAATCCTAAACAACAAATCACTAAGGAGCTTGACAAGAATTGGATTAGCGCTATGTAACAGAAAATTTTTTCGATTTGGTCCGAAAAGACAATGATCTTCTGGTGCTTGCCGATCAATTCCTTTATGATGGAAATAATAAAATGTTGATTGTTTTTGTCGGAAGAAATGTCTCTTAATGCATCACACAAAATTTCTATCTGACCGCTCGCATGAAGAATCTACAAAAATACACATTCTATAAAATCACAGAAAAAATATTCCACACCATTAGAAATAACAATTAATTGTTAATTACATTAGAGATAACAATTAATTGCTAATTACATAATATAAGAAAAATTATATATATATTATATAAGACGAAATGTAACATGATAAATATTTGGTAACTTTAGAATATTAAAATAAGAAGAAAAAAATTCATATAAATAAGTATCTGATTGTAACTTGTTTTCAGACATTATAGCCGTCTGTATAAGCGCAATTAAATAGAAAAAGTAACAGATTATGAAATTAATATATTCAGCTCTAGGTAATTCGCTAGTAATAACATTTTACATGCTGAAAAAGAACATCAAATTTCTTTCTTCCAATTATATACATAATTGGATTATAGGATATTGATATTTTTTTCTGCTCTTTTTAATGTTGTAAAAAAAGACTTTCTAAATACAATGTTGTTAAAAATACAAAAACATTTATCACATGATATTGCCTAATTAAATAGATCTAGCTTAATGATATTTAAAAAAAAATTCTTTTTTTACAGATTGCACTCACTAATGTGACGATTAGAGAATTCAGTACGCCAGTCATAGCAGAAGATGCCAATTGATGAAGAAATTCCAAACACATAACGAGCTCATATCGAGGTGACTCGTCACTCTCAAACGGGAGCTGTAGCTTAAGCGTGAACTCACGAGCAGGCGTCTTGACTTCATTAATGTCATAATCATTACTATGGGACACGAGCACGCCAATACCATAGGAAAATGCCGCGGCCGAATGAAGTCCGATGATTACGTTGGAGAAGTGCCGCGACAGATTTGCCTTGTTCTTCATGGTACGCATTTCACCAATAGCGGCTTCCCTCCAATCTGCAGCCATCGTAGCTAGGATATCGTAAAATATACTGCGGCAGTTTATTCTATCCACGAGAATTGACTAAACGATTTACACTAACAATAAGATGAAAATATAATAAGAACACAAGAAGAGGATGAATTCAAACCATAAAGACGTAGTAGATTAAAATAATTTTTCGTGTAAATAGCTTCATGTAAAATCGATTGTACATTGGCAATTATTGCGATAAAAAAGTACAATACATACTTGTATGGCCATATAAATTAATTGGTTAAACTAAAGATAATTGTAAAAAGATATTGAATAAATCTACTGCATCTTCTTTCTTACAAATTAAAAAAATTGAGATTTTTATCGTAGATAGAAGACATTAATCTCTATTTTATAGAAATATTGCTATAAGAATCATGACTTTCAGGATTGATAAAATAAATTCGATTTTTATCCTCAACAACGTAAAAGATATCTTCTCTTACCGACTATTCAACCATAAAATAACCAGTTTCAAGAACATCACGCTGTATTCCATAGTAACACTCAAACCGTCCATCAGATGTGACATGTCGTCAGTTCCTAAGTGAATAATAATCCACCAGTACTGGAAAGTCTGTACTATACCGGTGGTCAATATCCAAACACCCCGAAAAAACAGCGCATATGATGCATTAGGCCAAATCCCGACAAATCGAAGACCAATTTGCACCGAAAGAGCAACAGTGCTTATAGCCGTCATTTTATCGCGTCTTGATCCGTCTTTTACACCGAAATATACCAATATCTGTTCATCAATTTATATCTATTATTATATAAAATTTGACCAAGAATTCAATAACAACAATATCCAAAATATAACTTAAAATATTCGTCGATACTACTAACGTATAGCCACGGATTAAATATCTGAGTACAGGTCTAAAACGACTCTAGAACAGCAAGTTGATTACACAAGGGTCGCCAGACGTAGAAATAATCACCGAGCAATTGTAACTAATCGAAAGTAAAAATGTTATGGCTGTTTATACTGAAGAGAGAGAGAATTATATAAAACTGCAACAATTGAGCTATGATTACGACGCTTACAATATAATTATCTTATTCTTCTGTCGTAAAAAATATCGCCGATAGGACAAATTGCTAGCCTGAATAATGTAAGAAATGATATTCCTCTACCTTCGCGAGAACAAGTACAGATCTAGAATAATAGTTCTATGAAGAAACGCTAAAATATATTTAAAAAACGCTCTTTTCTACGAAAAGATCATATACACATACTTCCAAATGTACAGAAATTAGTGACGATTTTTCATGGAAGAACAATAGTATCATATGTTGAGATTTCCAATTTTTTTATTTTTATTTTAGGAATTTTTTTTATAAATACGAAATTATTTATCTTAATAATAAATCAAGTAGTAAAATCTTTTCTCTACGCTAAATTTAATAATAAATCTGTTTGATATTACACATGAAATTATTTTTCTTAATTTTTATAGCATTAAAATTTTCAAATATTTTTATATATTCTTGTATCTCCTGCTTAATTTTTCTGTACAATTCTATCAATACTTCTTTTAGATCCTTTATTTAACGAGAAAACGACAATAAATACTAGAATATAATGTTTTAAATCATAATAAAATTGTATTAAATAAAGTTTTTCTTTTCACTTTAAGTGAATTAACTAAAATATCATGATAAAGGTTTACTTTTTGATTTATACACAATCCACAATTTCTGCTATTACATTGATATACTTAATTTATAAAAAGAAATAAATAATACTTTCTAAGAGCGTGTATACATAGTTCTAATAATAAGTATATACAATTTCTTCAGCATTAATACATTGCGTATAAAACAGATATATACGATGCGGAAGCTTTCAAACTCTGAAAAATTAAATAATACGCAATATAAATCAATTTACTGTAGATTAAAAACAAAGCATTATAACCTTGTTGAATATTTTCAGGTAGGTTCTCATATGGAATCATATGGATTCATATGGGATATTCAAAATCCATATGGAAATCTATAAGATATATCATAATCTGTCTAATATTCGCATATGCATATACATATTTTATAACTTTTTTATTTAATTTTAAGAAAACTTTCTCCCTATATTTTAAATCGCGAATTTTAGGATCTTGTAATTGCGTGCATTGTTTATAATTTAAACAGACAATAAATGACTTATTAATTGTTTGTTGAAGAAGTGATGTAGCATGCGTAACAAAGGAGACTCATAATCAAGAGAGCCTAGGAAATCTTATTAAGATGCATTTTTCAAAACCAATTTAAATAATTTATTTCAGGTAAAGTACAAACATCTTTTAGGAATAATAAAATATGTAAATCTTAAAAGTATAAATAATTTTTTTTCGAATATTGAACTAATATCAACTTGAGTCCAATCCATTTAAATGGATTCTAACATAAAAAAACCACATGATTTCTTATAGGAATCTACAAAGACCTTAAATTTTTGGCCCAAATCCCTATAGGAAATCATATAAATCTCATATGGATTGCCATATGGATTTCCTATGTGGGTCCCTACCCAGTTTTTTCAACAGGAAAACAAAACATTATTGAAAAAATGAATATGAATAATATAAATAAAAAATATAATATATTTACTTATTAGTTTACATATAATGTGAAATAAACTACTCAAAATTGCTTTCATGTAATATATTATTAATTGTAATTTTCTTTATATTATTATTCTATTTAAAACAATATTAAGCTTTTTTAATATTATATTTGCGTATTCAGAGATAAATTCCAATGATTAATTTTGATTCCATAAATAGTGTCTTACAAGATCGAATATCACACATGATATACAATAATTCTTAGCACTCCTATTATAAAACGATATAATATAGATAACGTATATTATAACACAGATGTTATTAACTTATGCATAACTATAAAAAAATCCATAAATGCATAAAATGCATAAAAATGCATAAATATAACAACTTCATTATTGAAATCTTACATTTGCGAATCCTTCCAGCGATAAATCCATAAATTTCCCCGCAGTAATCGTCAGTCGTTTTTGCGATCTCATGATTACAAATAGTAAAATACGGCTATCTCGAGGCTTGAGATTATACCAAATAGATCCATATACAGCATCGCCAATTGTTTTACTCTAAAATGCGAATGAGAATGCATGTAAAAAAACAATCGACATTCTCGGCATACATTCGGTAATCCATTTTCACATTAGCAATTTTTCGCCCAATTAACGCTAAATATTTAAAAAATATTGCTAAAATTCCAAAATATAAATATTCCAAGACTATTCCGGAATATTTCGAAACATTTATCAAATGTAAAAGCAACATTTAAGATAATTTAAATAATCGCTAAATATTTCATTCATACATTATTACATATTCAGTGAATGTTTCATATAATATCCTACAAAATTATAATTTTATCAGAAATCCCAAGTCTTAATCGCTGAATAAAACTTAAACAAAATTGTATTGTCAAAAAAATACATTTCATGTATTTTCACCTAATTTTGAAGCTCACTTCACAAAATATTCTTCCCTATGTAATTTTTATTTTTCGAGTTAATGCATTTTCGCCGTGGCCCTCTGTCAGCGGAGATGTAATGCTCGCTTGCGATTTCTGTGACATATATGAAGGATATTTATACAATATTCTAATTCTATTTCATCGACGTTTGCACATTCTGTGACAATTTTTTTTATTGTCCGGAATATTCGTGCATTAGGAATACAAATTGAACTTTCTATGAATAATTGATGTTAGCTGGAATTCATATCAATCCAATCTTTTTATCAGCAGCACTAATGATCTTTTTAACATTAACAGATTTATATAGAACAGGGAAAACGAATAAATAATTTCAAGTACTTACCTTATTACTCAGATATTCACCGGCAAAACAAAAGATAAATGCCTCTAAAGTAATAGCGATGTAAAAAAACAAGGTCTTTATCAACATTCGAACACCTTCATTTGTGCCCAACGACTGCAAATCAAGAAAAGATCGGGAAGAAAATTCAAGTTTATAAGAATCTCAATCTTTATAAGACATGGGAGTAGAAAGCAGTCATTTTCCATGATATACCTCGTGAGAATCGCAAAAGGCTTTATGTAAGGATAAAAGAAATCGAAGATATCCGGTTAGTCTTAAAACATTCTAACAAAATGGAAAGGATGACTCTTAAAAGAGCTCAAAGTCATGCGAATGCATTCACACAACAATCTTTTTACTTCCTTTCTGTTTGTGTACACAATAGTGGAGTTTCATGTCTACAATACAGTTTCAGCGAATCTAAGGCTACTGTTATTTTGAATATTATGAAATATAGTAAATCACGAAATAAAAATATGTAAAGAGAATGGAAAAATTATTCGGTTATTTCTTTCGTTACTTTTTATAATAACAATTTGATAATGACGTTGCAATTTTTATAACTATAATGATAACTAAATGCTGAGATTGTGTTAAGGTTGAGAAAATCACTCACTTTGAAAAGTAACTTGCATCATTATACGTTTATTTACTGAAAAAAATAATTTGTAACGAGTAATGAATAACAGTACATTACTTGTTATAAATTACTTTTTTCGTATAAAAATTAGAAGTGATGACTAAAAAAAACAAGTTACAAATGCTGAATTAATTTTTTTAGTGACTTTTCCAACTCAGTTACAAGGAATGATCGAGTGACTCTCCAACTTTGATGTTACCGTTACATCATAAAAAAATTCATCATTGTTAAATCATTGTTATAACAGAATAACAATAAAAAAAATAATATTACAAGTAATTATATACTTCATTCCCTGAATATGGTGTAATACACATGACATATACATAATTACGTATAGAAGTAAAATTAAAAGTTTATGTTATTCGTTTCCAATTAAAAATGTATAAGATCTCACGTTCAAATACAAGTATATGAATAGATATCATCTTTAAAAACAATATCTTCGCACATTTTGCATTAATTAAGTACATTAGGGAAATTTCAAATATGTATGACGTTTAAAAAACAAAAATTTAAACAAATATAGATTTGTTATATATAGATTTCGAATACTTACAGTTACTATAAGAAATCCGATGCAACATATGATCAAAGTATTCGAGAAAAATTGCATCAGAGCGATGTAAGAGAAAAGATTCTCGATGCTCTCCGAGAAAGCGATAATCTTATGATGCTTATCGATTAAAGATCTCACAATGGTGGATAAATCATGTTTGTTATCTTTGACAAAAATCTCTTCCACTTCCTGTTGCATAAGATCTATTTGTCCACCAATGTGCAGCATCTATATATTGTTAATTATTTAATTACATGACTGCTAAACAAAAATACTTCAACTATCAATAAGTATTATATAAATAATCTTTTATTTTTAATATAATTTAAATAGTA